AGGGGTTAGGGAAAGGGTAAGGGTAAGGGTAAATGCGGAAATTGGAAAAGCTTAAAGTGCCGCTTAATTAATACATGAGTGTCGTATGCTTAGTAAGCGGCACTTTAAGCACTTGTTTGCGTTAATAAACGGCTTTTTAATTAGTGCGTGTGTATACTTCACTCATCTTACTAACCTAACTGCGCTTTTAGTAGTGAAGTAAGCACATCCTAAGTGATAAAAATACTAATTTGAATGTCATGCATTTATGCTACGCTAGATGTTCTATTTTGGTTGTCTTATTTTCTTTGCAGATTGTCCCAAAATGAATGTCATGTTTTTTTTTCTGACAAGAAATGTGTGATTCATATCATTTCACTTTACTATACTCATATCTTAACACAACTTTTATTTTCCAAGTATTTTATGATAATTGTTTCAAGTTAAAGTGAAAAATGAGGTTCAAGGTTTACTTTTGAACAAAATTTAGATCTACTGATTGAAACTAATAGCTACTACAGTAAAAAAAATCATAAACTTCATATTCTGCTAAAGGTGGAGTTGGCCTCACGAAATTCCATTCAGATGAGAGCAATATTGTCTTAATAAATACTCCATCCATATCATATTAGTTGCAACATTGAAATTTACACACTATTAATGTACTCTACTTTGACTATATTTTATTTATTAATGTATGTGAATTATTATTTTTGAAAAAATATTGTTGAATTCATCTCATTACAAAGTTTCATAATTTGATTTTTAATTTTTTTAGTAATAGAGAAATAAATATAATGATGATCAAAGTTGTGCGTTGGCGAGCGTGAAAAGGGAATGTTGCAACTAAAAAAGAACGGAGGATAGTACTTCGTATGCACTATTGTCATTGACTCATTGTCAAAACTCAAAATGTTGGTACCTACGTTTCATTATGAGTCCGTTTGGCAACACCACAATGGCTGAATCAAATGAATTTGCTGAAATTTATGAAGTTTTGGCTGGACCGCCAAAAATAGATGAATCTGCTGAATTACGGATAATTTTATATTGAAAATATATTTTATTAAGATGATACGACAACCACAACATCCGAGCCTTAATACCAAAAGATTTTGGGATTGGTAAACATGAATCGATCTATGATATCGATGCCAAAGAGAAGATAGTCAAAAAGATAAAACAAATAAGATAAAGAAATATGTAGTATAAGATAACAATAACATAAAAAAATAAAAGATAAAAAGGTAAAAGAACTTAAAAAAGCTAGAAGATAAAAATAACATAAGAACAATAAAAAATAAAGATAAAACAAATAAGATAAAGAAATATGTAGTATAAGATAACAGTAAAATAAAAATATAAAAAAGATAAAAGATAAAAGGGTAAAAGAACATAAAAAGGCTAGAAGATAAAAATAATATAAGAACATAAAAAAATAAAGAAGATAAACGATAAAAGCAAGAGAGAGATGAAAGATAGAAAAAAGATCAATCGTCCACACGAATGTGCGCCCTCCACTTTACCCTCTCCAAAATCACACTCTCATCCAACCCAATAAGACGCATATCGGTTCTGATTCCTCTAATCCAAGTCTATTTGGGTCTTCCCCTCCCTCTCTTCTCCTCACCCCTCAAGTCGTCTAATAAGTGCATCACTTGGTCTTCTACGCACATGCCCCAACCACCGCAAACGAGACTTCTACACCTTATCTTCTATAGGTGCTACTCCCAAGTCCCAACACAACATAAGCATCTATGTCACACTCATCTTTTGAATCTGACATTGTTTCACCGTCCAACACTCTACGTCATACATTAATGTAGACCTAATTATTGTTCGATAAAAATTACCTTTCAGTCTAGTCGGCATACCTCAATGACATAGAAATCCTGATGCACTCTTCCATTTCATCCACCCAGCTCTGATTCAATGAGATACATCTACACCAATTCACCATCTTTCTGAATTATGGGGCCCAAGTAATGAAATATATCACACATCGGCATCTCCTTACCATAAAGAGTAATCCCATTGTTTCTACTACTTCTACCCCCACCAAACTTGCACTCCATATATTATTACATTCAGTCTTGCTTCAGCTCAGTCTAAAACCATTGGTCTCAAATGTTTGTCTCCATACTTTCAACTTTGCTTTAACACCCAATTGTGTCTCATCAATCAATACAATATCGTCGACAAACATCATGCACCACGGTATATCTTCTTGAATTGACTTCATAAGTTCATCCATGACTATAGAAAATAAGAAAGGACTTGGAGCCGATCCTTGGTGCACTCCGGTTGTAATAGGAAACTTTGTGGTCCTCCCTACACTAGTACGGACACTCGTAGTACAAGCCTCATGCATATTCATGATGATTGTGATATACTTACAAGATATGCATTTTCTAGTTAAGACCCACTAAGGTACTTCTCGAGGTACCCTATCATATGTTTTTCTAAGTCAATGAACACTAAATGCAGATCCTTTTAGTGTCTTTATACTTCTCCACAACTCTTTTAAGAAGGTGAATGACCTCAGTTGTTGAGCGTCTAGACATAAAACCAAACTGATTCTCCGAAAATTTCACACTTTTTCAAAGTCTTGCTCAATCACTCACTCCCAAAGTTTCATGGTGTGACTCATAAGCTCAATCCTTCAATAGTTGGCATATTCTTGTAAGAAGATAAAGAAGATAAAGAAAAAAATCATTAAAAAGTAAATAAAATAATCTAGTTAATTCAAGTATTTAACGGGAAAAGTAACTTCAATCTTACTTATTTTGATTGTTATATAATCCAATGTGCAAATAAAGAAAAAATCATATGAAAAATAGCTAAAATGGTTTTCTATAGGAATGGAGTCGGGCCGGGCCTAGGCCCGGTCGGGCCTTTTGTGTTTGGGGGAAGGCCGGGACCGGCCCGGGTTGCCGCCGGGTCCGGGTCGGGCCGGGCCGAGCCTCGAGCCACTTTGTATTTTTTCCCCTTTTTCTAATTAACCCCCGACCCCCCCCCCTCACCCCACCCCCCCAATCACGCCAAATGGCCCAAAATACCCAGCCCAACCCGTGTTTTTAAAAAAATTGAAAAAAAAATAATAATAAAGCTCGAACCGGGCCCGGCCCGGCTGGTTCCATATTCAGCTGACCCGAGCCCGCCCTTCCCTAACCAAGCGGGCTGGGCCTACCCGAACCGGACTGTAGCGGGTCACCGGGCCAGGCCCAAACAGTACTGGTCCCGGGTCGGGCGGCCCGACCCGAGTCCAAGAATAGTTTTCTATAGTAATTTCAGTCGTCAATCCAGCCAGAAAAGTAACATCAACCCTACTTATTTTGATAGTACATAACTCAAAGCGTGAAATCAAAAGTCACATGCTTAATGAAAATACTGAGTGATACAAGATTGATAAGTCGAAAATGAGGATTACCAAACGTGCTTTTAAACTACTAAATCCTATATAGGAAGTATAATAAAATTTGGCCCGCCGTATTAAACCGTCTCGTATCGTCAGTTAGTCCGGTATCCAAATCCTTGAATAAAAAAATGGCACAAATGCCACATCAGAAGCAATGACAAAGCAATGACAACAACGTCTGTTCATCCTCTTCGCTACTCGAAATCCAGAAGGCGCCACTCAGTCGGGTCGTCCTCTTTCTCACTCAAAGTCAAGATGCAATTCAGTTGGGTCGTCCTCTTCATCACTCAGAGACCGCTGTAGAGTTGGAGTTTAAAGTAGGGAGTGCATAAACCGGTTCAAACCGCAAAACCACAAAACCAAATCAACACAAAACGATATCTGGTCCAATTTTTCGGTTTTTAAATATTGTAAATCTGATTTCCGGTCTGATTTTGGTATAAAACTGGATTGTTCCGGTTTAAACCGGATTAAAGCAATTTTGCTATATTTTTTTAAACGTATTAATTAACAGTAATAATATAAAATAGTTATAGAATAACAATATAGAGTAACCTTTTTTTGAGAGGATAATAATCTTTTTAATATGTAGAGAAAATGGGCAAATAAGCCCACGTACTAACCAAAAAAAGTCAAATAAGCCCTTATATAAGAAGTTATGTGTGATCGTCGCCATATGGGGCAGTTGCCAGTGGAATTTTTTGACGAATTTTTTTCAACATCTTATTCATTAAGTCTAGTTTACTCATGCCAAATTTCAACCAAAACTTCAATCGCGAAGGCATTTAAATGAATTCTTGAAGATAACTGCGATGCGCAGTTATCTTCAAAAGTTCATTTGAATGCCTTCCCGATTGAATTGTTAGCTGACATTTGGTATGAGTAAACTAGACTTAATGAATAAGATGCTCAAAAAATTTCATCAATAAAATCCACCGGGAACTGCCACAAATGGCGACGACCGGACAGAGCCTCTTATATATAAGGGCTTATTTGACCTTTTCTGGTTAATACGTGAGCTTATTTACCTCTTTTCCTCCTATATAATTTACTTCCTATATAAGGACTTATTTGACCTTTTCTGGTTAATACGTGAGCTTATTATTCTTACTTTTTTGTAATAGAATTAACTAATGTAATGTGTACTATTCTACACTCAATTTGCTTCAAACCTTGCTCTCTGGACTAATAAAAATACATAAATAAATAAATAAATAAATAAATAAATAAATAAATAAATAAATAAATAAATAAATAAATAAATAAATAAATAAATAAATAAATAAATAAATAAATAAATAAATAAATAAATAAATAAATAAATAAATAAATAAATAAATAAATAAATAAATAAATAAATAAATAAATAAATAAATAAATAAATAAATAAATATATAAATAAATAAAGTAATAGTGATAGTAATATTATTAGTAGCAAATATTTTTTTATTTAATAAATTAGCTGCATTTTTCTAGTAAATTAAATTAATAATTTATAAACCAGTTCTTTTAATCCGGTTCCGATTTTGAACCGATTAAACCAATTTGGTTCCAGATAAAAATCAGAATATATTCGGTCCTATTTTTTGTTTTCAATTTTTTGGATGGGTGGACATTTCTTCTTTAACCAATCAAGACGAGTAGGATTCATTCGAGCCGAACTAGTTTAGCTTAACAGCACCATAATGACCGATAATCATCGTCGATGTGGCCTAGGAATTCAATTTGGAGAGACGCTCTGCTACAGGCATAGAGCTAATTCAACCACCTGATCGGAAGTCGGAACCTTCAACAATTTCTTAACTGAGGGTGAAGAAAGATGCTGTTTCAGGTTGGTGGGCAGGGGACTCGGCCCACCTTCTTCGAGATGGCCGCTGCTCAGCAACTCCCTTCCAGCTTGCGAGCCGCTCTTTCTTACTCTCTCGGCGTATGCTTGCTGTTCATCACCGCCTAAATTAGGGTTTTAAATTTCCAGTCTTCCATTTTAATGTGTTTATTACCTACAGGTTTTGGCTCTGAGAAGACCTTTCCTCCACAAAGTTCTTGACTTTGAAGATGAATTCTTTGCTTTTCTCATGCTTGTCCTTGAAACTCACAGTTTGCGGACCACAGGTAAATGCATATGATCGTTTTATCTATGCTTATTTGTTACTGTTCTGCTGATTTTCGATGTTATGATCAATTTGTGCTGTGTAGTGGAACTGTATGTTTATTGTAGCTGAATTTGTCTTAGTTTTGGATTCCACCAGATGCATCATTTGCTGAGTCGTTGTATGGGCTAAGGAGGAGAGGTGTTAACGTTCGAGTTACTAATGATAAGAAACGTTTGGAGTCGAGTAATGGAGTTCATCACACAGGATTGGAGAAGCGCCAAAAAATTCTTTCCGTTGCATTCCTTGTAAGTTGTAAACAAATTTATTCATTCATATATTCACTCGAATCGGAATGTGCTATACTGGTAGTGCAATGGAATGTTACTGATTATAATTGATTCTGGAGGAACTTTATCAAACCAAGTAATGTTTGTTGAAGACATGAAGTTATATAGTCCCGTAGTTCATTTGGGGGACCTAAAGTGGATGAAGTAGCTGAGTTTGCTAAATGTGTTGCCGGCAATGGCTGAATTGGTTGAATTAGCTAAGTCATCGAATAAAAGGAATTTCATATATGTTTATTAAATAAATTAATGAAAATAATAATGTCATCCTAAAATGAATGTAGAAAACTAGAAATGTCATTTTCTACAACTTCAGCCGTCTCATCCAAAAAAGTAACTTGTACACTATTTTTCACCATTGGTCGCTTCAGCCAACATATTGAAAAAAGTTTGTGTTGGTGAAAATTTTGCTGCTAACGTCTGCTAAGGCTGTTAAGCAGAAAAAGGTAAACCAAACGGTGACATTGCCATATGAACTATTTGTCTCAAGTTCCACTAGCAGTGATATGAACTATTGCCTTTGTTTAGGTGATATTGCCATATCTTAGGTCAAAGCTTCATGCAGTATACAACAAAGAAAGAGAGGTTGCACTTCAAGCTAGTTTATGGGGTGAAGGTGATGACAGATTTACCAGCACGAACAATCTTGATACACATGCATCTTCTTTTGTTTCTACAACAAATAGCTCTGATACTGAAGCAACATCAACAAGAGAACGCTTGAGAAAGAGAATTCGGAAGTGCATTGCTATTTGCTACCCATGGATACATGCAGGAAATGAAGGTCAGCCTGGGAAGCTCAATGTGGTTTATATGACTTGATAAGAATCTTGTTCTGAACATTTTTTATTCCGAGAAAAAAGAGTGCAAATTCATCAACAAGTTGCGAAAAAATAGCCCCATTCATATCAAGTTTAAAAAATAAGTGTGATTTAATGCAGTTGTACCTTATAAAAAGAACTTTATTTTGGAAGTAGTGAAAAGTTTAAGATTCAGTGTTTTATTTTACATTTGTTGATGGTGAAATTATACCTGTTAACTAACCACTCTTTTTTAGGGCTTTCATTTGCTTACCAGCTATTATTTCTACTGGATGCTACTGGGTTCTACTCTATAGGATTGCATGCATTGGGCATTCAAGTTTGCCGAGCAACAGGACAGGAATTGGTATGCCACGGCAAACAACTTATTGTTTAGGACCTCATTCATTCTATTTCTATTTAATAATTGTCTTTAGCTTTTATCAGAATCTGCATTTGCAATATGCCAAAACTATTATTTTTAACACCATCATCTACCTTTTTAGTTTATCTGAAATTTTTTCTTTTTAATGGAGGATGAGAGGAGGTGAAAATTACTCTTCTATTGTTTGGAACTTTGGATGGACTAGAGAATGGAGGGGAGGGGAGGGATGGAAATAAGAAAATTATAAGAAATACACAAGTTTACCTTTTTTGTGTATATCACTATATTGCCTTTAAATTTTAAGTTTTTGTTGTTTTCCATTGTCAAGTTAGATTGATACTTCTTCTAGAATATCCAAGATAAGAAAGCATGAACGTGAGAGGCTCCGTGGCCCCCCTTGGCTAAAGGTATGCATTAAGTCCTCTTTGTTTTCAATACTGCATATTAACTTCTGTGTTTTACTACCTGATGTTGAAGATGTTACTCTGCTAAGGTTGCTCAGGGAGGAGACGGCCTTCTCTAACTTACATTTGGCATGAACCTATAGTGTTAATTATATATATTGACACCAAATTTCATGCCTCTAACCTGATTAATTGGGATTAAGCTGTTGATGATGATTATTATTATATTATCATTTTTGGTGTATGCGTTGGAAGAGATATTTTTGTACCAATTGGCAGCTTCCTGGCCATGTTTTACCCTATTTGACACACACCCCTTATTTTATTTTCTAACATAAACCCCAAAGCACCTCAAAGCTGGGTGCAAAGTCAAATAAAATATTGAAGTAAAAAAATGTGGCGCAATTGTGTTGTAAAAGTCTGATAGCGATGAATTGTTCTGGAGTGCGCTAAGGTCCATGTTCAAAGAAAACAAAACATGATGGTGCAAATTCAAATAATGGGGTAAAACATGGGCTACATACAACAATTTTCCCTTTCTACATCCTTGCGTGTTATCTGGTATTAGGTTCTATCCTCTTACAATTATCATGTCAGTTGTGAATCTTAATCCCCTAAAGCAAAATAGCCTCACATACAACAACATTTCAGAAAATACAAGGTGGGTTACTTGGTTTTGCATATGCTGCTCTTGACTATGCTCAAACTGGCCTAATTGCTGCAGTATTTTTCTTCAAAGTAAGTTTAATCCACTCTCATAAAAATTTCAAATTGTATGGTGTATTCTTTATATCTTTTTTTATATCCAAATGATATCCAATATTCTCTTTGCCATTTTTGCGTATAATGCTCAGATGATGGAGTGGTGGTATCAATCAGCTGAAGAGCGAATGTCAGCCCCGACCATTTATCCTCCTCCACCACCACCACCAGCCCCAAAGGTGAGTCAGTGATAAGATAAGTAAAACCATTAATTCTTTACCTGTTCATTTATCTAGAGTTGGTCTAATTTCTAAACAGGTCGCTAGAGATGGTATTCCTTTGCCTCCAGACAAGTCACTCTGCCCTCTGTGTTCACAAAAACGAGTTAACCCCTCTGTAGTGTCAGTTTCTGGATTTGTCTTTTGTTATTCCTGCATATTTAAATATGTCTCTCAGGTAAAACTTAATAATTGCATTCTTTTCTTGATGAATACTACGTGTGTTAAGTTACTCCAAAGCAGGGGTTTAAATATGTATAAATAACTTAGTTCTATACTTTGACTATATGCAGTACAAGCGTTGTCCGGTTACACTTACTCCTGCAACCGTGGATCATATAAGGCGACTTTTTCATGATGTTTGAAAGTTTTATCTAGTATGAACATCTGATTTTAATTAAAGTCCAATTATATGCATTCCAAGGATATTGTTGTCGTTAGCAATTTTTAGTTTCTCTTATTCTGAAAAGTTATTATTTGAGAAATTTTGAGTTTGCATCCATGTTTACATTGAAACTGAACATTGTACCTCATTTTAAAATCTTTTGAGTTACACCTCAAAGTCCAATAGCAGGGATGCAGATTCAAATTACAATCCAATGGGGTACAAAGTCTAAGAGAAATACTCCACTTTTGGCACGTTGAGGACTTGAGGTGCAAATTGAGATGATTTAAACCATGAAACACAAAGTCCAATTTCCAAGCATATATGGGTTGTGATTGTGTGAATTCATAACGCATAATAATATTGCCAAGTGATTTTGAAGGGAGAGTACCTTCCAAGCAGTGTTTTAAAATGCATGAAAAGGTGTGGCCTAAGTGGGCCTAGGCGCAATGCACCATCAATGAGCCTTGCATACTTGTTATGTGTGGGAAAAGGTGACCTGCTAGCCCATTATGACCTAAAAACGGAGATTTTTTTTTCATAACAAGTATGCAAGGGCCATTGAGGCATTGGCTACACGAAGAGAAGCGGGAAGTATCATACCCAAAAATCTGTAATATTACGTATTCCATAGTTCCAGTGTGCGCCAAATGTAATTTAGAGCTGGACTCGACCCAAGTTCACCATCAAGATTTGCTTCAGCTAACTTAGCCAAACGCAATCTGCTCTTTACATGGTTATGGTGGTGGTGGTGTGGCTACTGCGGTGGCTGCCGCTGCTGCCTAGTTCTCCACATGTTTGGGTAGTAGATACTTGATTCGAATGAGTCGTTCCTAGTCACTACACATGAGGTTGAGAGGTTCCATTCTAGTCAGAGTTGAATGCATTTTCTTCTTGTTTATTGGAAACTTTCTAACTTGTATTTCTTTCTCTTAGTTGGTCGTTTAGTTGTTCTTGTACGATGAAAAATATGATGATACTTTAACGATGAATACAAACTTCAAGCCTGATCGAGCGGTGATCGGCAATAACAATTATTTTAGCTAGACAAACTCTATCTTATTCATGTGCACATTTGAACATTTGTACCTTGTCTGTGCCGATTGTATGCAACATGTTTCAATTAATTTACTATAAATTTCTTCTATTGAAAACCTTATTAAAATATGGTAATGCAGCACGATACACATGTATTTTAGGAACTAAGGTCTAAGGATGTTTTCTTTTGGATTGTTTTCCGTCCCAGACCAGACTTCCTTAGTTATAATTACAGAGAGACCAGACCAGCAAATCTCAGTCCAAAAGAAAACCACCTAACTATGTTGTGAGAAGTTATGAGTAGACTATAAACTATCTCTCCATCTCATTTTATTTTTCTTACTTTTTTTGGTATTGTTTCAAAATAGATGTTTTGTTTCCTTTTTTGACAAAAAAATGTGGTCTTTATCATTTTACTTTCTTATAGTCAAATTTCAATTACAAATTTTACTTTTCAACAGTTTTATTGATAATGTGTCAAACTAAAAGAAGACATTCAATATAGGACGGAGGTAGTATTCGAGTAAAGTTATAATTGTTTTATTATTTTAAAATGACTAAGAGTCCGTTTGGTAACACGAAAATTGGCTGATTCTGCTATAATTTATGAAATTTTGGCTGAAGTGGCTGCATTGGCTGATTCTGCTGATTTTAAAAAAATGTTTTTAAAATATATTTTATTAATAAAATAGAAAAAATTAGATGTAAAAATAACTAAAATGGTCATCTACGGTAACTTCAACTAATACAATCAGAAAAGTAACTACAACCTTACCCTTTTTTATTATTACACAATTCAGCACGCGAAAACAAGAGTTACGTGTTTGGTGAAAAAGTTGGCTTATAAGCCTGATAAGCCGAAAAATAGTATTACCAAATGACCTCTAAATAAGTCCAATTTTGAGATTAAAACATACATAGCCTTATTCTTTAACTTCGACGACATATATTCATATTTGAGCAATTTGTTCTTCATATTAAGATATTAAGATATAAGGTTCTATTCTAAAATGATATAAGGTTGTATTTTAAAATGTTAACCCGAGTTGGCTAAGAGAGTAGTAAGAGGTAGTTAATCATGCCAATGAAGTTGACTTATCCAAAATTCTAAAATGTTACTTGTGGAACTCATACTTCCGAAGTGTCTTATTCCAATTGTTAGCGCATTTCAATTTGCACAAGATTGTTTGTTAATCATGCCAATGAAGTTGACTTATCCAGGACCGATTCAAAGTATCGATCAAGCCTACATAGAAAGGAAGGTTTAGCACTTTAGGGACTTATAAGATTTAAAAAAGTTATCCTAAACAGAAATTAAAACAAAATGATTTTTCTTAAATGAGAGTAGCACTTTTTCAAAATAAGAGTTAATATCATGTACTATCATACTCCGTATTAATGACTTATAAGTTGTGCCAAAATATTCCAAAATGATTTCAATTTATACTCCGTAGTGCTTTACTCTTATACGTAGTATATGTGTAAAACACAACACTATTTTTTTTTTTTACTTTTATTGTGGGAAATTTTTCAAGATTTGTTAAATGTCGCCATACTTGAATTCAAGCATGTGATCTTTTCCTTGAAAATGTCATACTAATATCATCGAACCACAATGTGTTTGACAATAACTAATTAGTATAGTTTCTTTAAATTAATTAAGAATGTTTTTAATCACATGACAGACCAAATCATATTAGACTTAAAAAGATTAGTCCAAATTAGACCATATCAGATCAGACGAGATTTCAATGTTTGTAAAATACCCAAAGAATAGTTGTCTATAAGACCAAACAGACTAAACTAGACTTAAACAGTATAATCAAAAGAGTTTAAATCAAATCAGACTAGACTTAAATAGATCGAATCAAACCAGATCAAATAATTACAATCCAATGAAAAACATCTTGTTTGTCATTATGTTTAGAGATAATTCCCCAAATAATAGTGAATATGGAGAAAGTGCAAAAATAGGAGTACATTTGAAGCTTGGACAAGAATACCCATGGAGCCATGGAGGAGTTGCAGTCAGAGCTTCCCTCGAGCACCTCCGCCATCCAATCTGCCTTCGCCACTGCTCGATTTGTTGCGTTCGTATGACCTGCCGCTTTAAGCCGCCAAGAGCCATCGAAAATTTTCAAAATCTTCCTCCACTACATGACACCGCCACTGTCGGTCCCCACCACCACCACCACTGTCTACTAGACTGCTCGTCACCAACAAATTGACCCGATTATTTAAGAAAATTAGAGGTAATTGATTGTATTAATTAATTTGATTAGGGGTATTAAGGGTAAAAAATTAAAGTTTAATCCTATTGGATAATGACTATGTTTCCTATTAAAGGTGATTACTTTTTACTCCGATTTATCTAACTAAAAAAGACATGTAACAGAAAAGTTTCTTTAAAAGTTAAACCCCATTCCATATTCACATTAGCCATCCTTTGAATGCAAATGAGGATCTAAAAAAGAGTGGCGTGAGTCGTGCCCTATGAGGGATGTCGGCCCTTTTAAGAAAATTACTATGCCGAAGAAAGAGACCCCTGAGACTGTTGTGGTCTAAAATCGGCACATGTAACCACACTAATTATTTCAAATGTTTTATTAACTTTTTCAACGCAAATTATTACGGAGTATTTGTGTAGTTTTCTTCCTCCCATGGATTTATTTATTTAAGCTGTGGCATTTATTGGTTCAAAATTCAATTCATGTGCCTGCCTTTCTGTATTTATTATTAATAATTTATTATTATTATTAGTAGCAGTACCTGAATGTGCCCCAGGACAACTAAGGCTGATGACTATCTCCAACAATTTCACATGTTTTTTCTCCCATCTCAGATCTAAATTTTGCGTCGGTGCAGCAAATTTTGGGGTCTATATCATTGATATTGTTTCTTGTAATTTGCTCTAATTCCATATTTTTCGATTCTTTAGGTACACTGTAATAATCTTAAGATGATTTTTTCCTTTTTAAAAAGCTCAAGAAAGTTTAGTGGGGTATCGTCTTTTAATTGTTCAGATTATTAACCTGACAAGTAAAATTGGAAAAGTGATTCTTTTTACTGCCTAATAGAAAAGAAAACTATGGTACAGGTTTACAAGTTACAACTACTCCCTCCCCCGCGTCCACTTATTATAGGTTTGTTTTCAAATGCTTTAAAAAAATACTTCTCAATTTTTTTCTTAAAAAACACTTATTTTATTAAATACTACTAACTTTTATTTTTCTCGGCTTTTGTTTCAGAAGTGCTTTTATTTTTTATATTACACAAAAAACACTTGTTTTATCAAACACTACCAACTTGTACTTTTCAAAATTACTTTTTTCTCAAACATTATCAACTTTTATTTAATCACTTCTCCCCATTTCATTAAAAAAACATTTTTTAAAGCAGAAACTGTTGCAAACAGACCCTAAGCAATTCAATTATTTTGGAGATACAAAAGTAAATATTTTTCAATTTTGGTAATTCAAAGTGGCTCAGTTTCTTAAAGTTGATAAAATTCTGATTGAATTGATTCCATTGGTTGAATTTGCTACATTATTTAAAAATTATTATGTATATTTAAAGTTCATTTTATTAATAAATAAAGAAAATATTGAAGTATTTAAAAAATAGCTAAAAGAATTAGGAAAAATTTAAAATAACAATTCCAATTAATGTCGGTCTGCTGACAATAATCTCAACTATTGATTATTTTTGTATAATCCCAACTATATGGACTGTCCATCAACAATGGTCCATGACCAAATATTACCTCCTATAACAAGTGAATTTTAAATAGAAATTAAGCATACAAATTAAAAGTTGGGATTATTTATAGAGATTACTTGCTATATCTCTTATCATCCACTTTAGAAACTACATGAATTTATTTATAGAGACCATTATTGGCGGAAGGTCCCTAAAGTTGAGATTATTCTGAAATAATCGATAGTTGGAAGTATTATGAACGGACCGTAAATAGTTGAGATTATTACTATCAATTTTTCCAAAGTATTATCTGTTGTAACTTTAGCCAATTCTAACGCGCGAAGTAAAAACATAAGTGTTTGATAAACAACTGACTAATGAAACTGATAAGCTGAAAATTGAGGTTATCAAAAGAGCACTTTGTCTAATGGGCCTTTAGATCCTGTTTGGTCCCCTTTTTTTCGGCTGATCAAGCTTATCAATCATTTTTTTCACCAAATACTTAAATTTTGATTTCGCGTATTGAATTGTGTAATAATAAGATAATATAAGGTTGGCGTTACTTTTCTGTATTGGCTGAATTTACTGTAGAAGATCCTTGTAACTATTTTCCATATAATTTTTTATTTTGTTTATTAATAATAAATATTTTAAATATAATTTTTTTCATAAATCAGCAGAATCTACTAATGCATCGACTTCAACTAAAACTTCATAAATTTCAACAAAATCAATCAATTTAACCAATTTCAGTGTTACCAAACAGGCTCTTAATTATTAAATACAGAGTATATGAAATTTCATTTAATGGGTAAGTGTCATAGAACATTTATAATATAACAATTCCTTAAATAAATTAGAATAAATATACGGATCCGAGTAGTTTTTCAAACAATAAATATACGGATCCGAGTAGTTTTTTTAACTTTTTTTGTATAAACCTTCTCTGCTAAGAATAGTGACTACTTCGTTGGATGGTTTTTAAGTTTACTACTCAGTAATTCTTTACGCCGATACTTCTTTATTTTTATTCTTGTAAACCTTCTCCATTAAGAATAGTGACTAAATCGTCAAATATTTTTAAGTTTGACTATAGTTCTTTACTTCGATACTTGTCTATTTTCATAAGCTCACGTACTAACAAAAAAAATTCAAGGAAGCTCTTATATAAGAGGTTCTGTCTGGCCGTAACCATTTGGGCCAGTTTCCGGTGGATTTTTTTTATGAAAGTTTTTTAGCATCTTATTCATTAAATCTAGTTTACTCATATCAAATTTCAGCTAACAGTTCAATCGGGAAGGCATTCAAATGAATTTTTGAAAATAACTACGCTTTTTACTGCACA